GCGGTAACTGAACGGTAGGTGGGCCCGAAAAAAAAAACGGTCCTACGGACCTAGTGCTTTGAAACCATGTCAGAATCTAGTAGCAAGAATGAATGAACTATGAAAGAGTTGGGTACAAGTATGAAACCCTAAAAGGGGCTGTACCCCATATTGGCTACCCCACTACAGCCTACACATATGTAACATGCATATACTTTGACAGACACGGGTGGGGACATTGGGGTGCTGACCGCACAGTGCGAAGAACGGTGACATGCCTGTGGACGAGTGGTGCGTGTTGTTGTAGGCGAACTCGGCCATGCTCAGCTTCTTGTCCCATGCGGCTGCGTCGTGCATCATGATGCTGCGAAGAATCTGCTCCAAGGTTTGGTTCACACGCTCGGTCTGTCAGTCTGTCTCTGGATGGTACGCAGACGACATGGCTAAGCGAGTCCTAAACAGTGCGAAAAGCTGCTTCCAGAACTTCGAAGTGAAACGAGGGTCGCGGTCGGAAATGATGGAATCTGGAACCCCGTGCAGTCGGACTACGTTATCTACGAACAGCGTCGCGGCTTCCTCTGCTGTGACCTTGCCGTGCGTGGGGATGAAGTGCGCTGCTCGAGAAAACTTATCCACTACCACGAAGATGGCGTCGTGACCCCTAACTGTGCGCGGTAAAGCCATAATGAAGTCCATCGTAACTACCTGCCAAGGGCGGTCGGGTGGTGGAATCGACTGCAAAATTCCTGCCTTGCGCTGGCGAGAGGACTTCGTACGCTGACACGTGTCGCACGAGCGAATGTAATCCTCTACGTCTGCTGCAAGCCCTGGCCAGAAGTACGTGCGACTAAGCGTCTTAGCCGTCTTATCCGCTCCAAAGTGACCTGCACTAACGACATCGTGCGCCTCGGAAAGAAGAAGCTGTCGAAGAGGGCGGTAGGCGGGAACCCAAATCCGTGTTGTCCCCTTCCGTATGTAGACACTACCCTGCACCTCTGATCCTGCGGGCGGCTGCGGTGTGAAGTCGGGATCTACTGTGTAACCGTGCTCGAAGAGTGCCGTGAGAAGTGGATGGCTGGCAGTGACTGTGAGGCTGGCGAGCTGGCAACTAGGGCGAGTGAGCGGATCTGCTGGGTTGCGCACGCCTGGCTTGTACTCTATCCTGTAGTGGAAACTCCCTTCCATGAACTCCATCCATCTAGCCTGGCGACGACTCAGCTGCGGCTGCGACTTGAGGAAACGAAGCGAGCAATGGTTCGTGCGTATAACACTATCTGCCCCCTCTAGATAGCACCTCCAGACCTTATACGCATGTATGATCGCGAGCGCCTCCTTGTCGTGAATCGGATAGTTCAGCTCCGCTCCCCTAAGCTTACGCGACTCGTATGCTATCGGCTGCAACCCGCAGCCCTGGTCCTGAAGAAGTATTGCTCCAATGGCCCGATCTGATGCGTCGGTCACTACAACGTACGGGCGAGTGGGATCTGGGTACGACAGTGTCGGTGAAGACGTGAGCGACTGCTTCATCTGCTCGAACGCCTACTGATGCACTGGACCCCAATCGAAATCTACGCCCTTCCGAAGTAGGTCGGTGAGTGGACTAGCGATCGATGCGTAACCCTGAACGAAACGACGGTAGTAATTCGCGAATCCGAGAAAGCTCTGCAACTCCTTGACTGAGGTCGGAGCTATCCAGTCCTGTACTGCTGCGATCTTCTTCGGGTCGGTCCTAATGCCACTAGCAAATACGACGTGACCTAGAAACTCGACTTCGGGGAGGAAGAACTCGCACTTCGACTGCTTAGCGTACAACTGCTCCTTCCGCAAGACCTCGAAAACTTTCTGCAAGTGTTGCACGTGCTCCTCTTTCGTCTTGGAGAAGATGAGGATGTCGTCTAGGTAAACTACGACGAACGAACCTAGGAACTCGGAGAGGACGGTGTTCATGAGTGTCTGAAACGTTGCTGGGGCGTTGGTAAAGCCGAACGGTAGAGCCCTAAACTCGTACAACCCCTGCTTCGTACGAAACGCCGTCTTGTCCTGATCCTCCGGAACTACTCGAATCTGGTGATATCCTGAGCGAAGGTCGATCTTGGAGAAAACTCTAGCGCCCTGCACTGCATCCAGAAGATCCTATACTCTCGGCACTGGGAACCTATTCTTGACGGTGGCGGCGTTCAGTGCGCGGTAATCTATGCACATCCGTAACCCTCCGTCTTTCTTAGGCGCGAAAAGGATCGGTGCTGCCCAAGGCGATCTAGATGGCTGTATGAACCCCTGCGCTAGAAAGTGCCTAACCTGCTGCGTCATCTCCTCTGTCTCTGTTGGACTTAACCTCCACTGCGGCTTCGCTACAGGCCTGCTCCCCGGCTCCAACTCTATCCGATGGTCGACTGCTCGGCTGGGAGGTAACCCTGGAGGCAACTCATCAGGGAAGACGTCGGCAAACTCTGCTAACAGTGCACTCACCTCAGCAGGAAGAGTCGCCTTCTCGCCAACTGCTGCACCCCCTCCTTTCCCCTCCTCAGCTTCCACCTCCTCAAGGAAAACCGCGAAGATCCGTGCCGCGCGCTTCACCAGCTGCCGCACACGAACAACATTGATGATAGCTGTGGATGATGTGGCCCCATCGATCCACTGTGGCAGCTCCCGGAACTCGCCATCTACCTTGACGCTGCAGCTTCCCTGAGCCTAATCGAACTGAGTATTAACCGTCCGCAACCAATCTCTACCGAATATGAAGTCGTAGCCGTCCAGCGTCGCAGAGTCGAAATCACGCCTAACCGTGATTGGTCCTAGCACCACGCGCAACTTGCGAATGACTGGTCCTATGTGAAGCGGCGTCCCATCTACCATACGCGCGTCCTTGAAGTTGACGGCCAAATCTGATTCGAGTTGGAGACGAGAAACTAGCGATGAAGAGACGAACGAGTGGCTGGCTCCGCTATCTACGAGAATCTTAACTGGAACTCCACGAAGCTTCCCTAGAAGCACGACTGGACGATCAACAATGTCTACCTCGTTCGCCGTAGATGACTGCTCTAAGGCCGTCTCCTCTACGTTGGTAGACTTTGCGGGTTCGGAATCGCTCACACCAGCTAGCGACCCGCTATCTACTGGCGGTTTCCGTTTCCATGTTGCCGCTCCTTAAGCTGTGGGCAGTCTCGCTTCATGTGTCCCGGCTTTTTGCAGTAGTGACAGTTCCCCCTAAATCCCGCTTTCTGTGAGCCGTCACTGTTAACTGCACCAATCTCCATGGGCGACGGTCCGTCCCTTGAGCGAGAATCGTTGATCGGTTTGTATCCCCTATCGCGATCGTCACGACCCCGTCGGCTTCGTACTGCGTCGACGCGTTCTGCTGCTGCGACTACCGACTCGAAGGTGGACAACCCGTGAATTGCTATGATCTCCGCTATGTCCGGCTTCAACCCTTCGAGGTAGCGATCGCTCATCTCTGCTTCCGTGATATCGTCGATCTCGTCGCAGATGCTCAAGAACCGTCGTGTGTACTCCTGGACGTTTCTTATCTGTCGGAAATGATGCAGACGCTTCCTAGCAGCTTCGGAGGCATTCACCAAGTCGATCCTAATTTTCAGCGCCGCTTCAAATCCTTCCCATGTCGTCGGAACCATGGTAACACCCAAAGCTAAACTCCCTAAGCTCGAAGTTGCTGCTGCATGCCCCTCGCCCTGTTGATGCCCGTCCAAATGAGCCCTTCTTACAGCAGTTTGCGTGAGTTGGCGCCACCACTCCAAGGCCGGGCCCCTCAGCAGCGTAACGGAGTACTCGATCCGCTGCTGCGCGTCCGCCTCTTGCACCCTGCTCGCGGCGAAGTAGTTGTTGAGCATGAAGAGCCACGTCCGCACGTTCGCGTCGCGTTGACTTGGGTCGAACGACTCGGGCTTCTGCGGCTTGAGCGCGCTTCGACGTTCCGGCAGCGCTTCCGCGCCAGTCAACGTGTTGGGTGCAGGAAATGGTGCGGCATGACTATGAGAAATTGACGCGAATTCACGAAGCTGTTGCATTTCAGCCCGTACCTGACGATTTTCCAGCGTCAACGATTCGAGTTGGCGCATGAGCTGAGCAAGCGTGTTGCCCATGTCGTTGGGGAGAGCGGTCATGGTTTCATCCATGTCGGCTCGACGACTCCAAGTCTGCAAGTCGGCACCGCGAGACGATGACGTCGTAGTCTCGTCGTCGACGGTCGCTCGTTGGAAGTCGCTCTCCGCGAAGGCTCTGATACCAAGTGTTAGGCCCCTTGGCCTAAATCCGCTAAGGAATAGCGGGGTCGAGTATATCGAGAATAAAACGCGGCGGAAGACTTTGGCGAAAGAACTATTAGTGAAAGAGGCGAAGAAGTAACTGAGTAATAGTTGAATGAGAATTGGTTGATATTGGGGAATACAAGCAAGGTTGATATAGCATGCAAGATCAAATGATGGAAAGTAATTCGTGGGACTAGAAAGTAGAAGCAAGAAAAGTAGAGTGCCACGTGGCACAAGGAAATCAAGGGAGATAAGGATAAAGGTGAGTTGGAAAGTACTGTTCAAAGGGAACAGTAAATCCCCCCTTAACACTAATATAGCAATGGTACACTGCCGTAGTGTAGGTCCTTCACCCAAGAGTCCATTGATTTCGGATCGCCTCCATTTCGCATCTCGAGTGAGAGGCGAAATGGCAGGCACCTTTGACCATTGACGGAATTGACGGAACTCATGGACGGTTTCCGTCGCGGCAAACGGTCGTTCGCAGCCATTGACATGTTCCAGCCGCTTCGCTCGCTTCTTCGCAGATCGCGAGCGCGCGCAACCTCGGTTCAGGGGTGAGTTCCTCGGTTCGGAGTTCTGGGAACGTTAAGAGTCAGCGGGCTCAGATCTGACCGTTGTCGCCGTGCGACTGCGAGTGGGAGCAAGACGACGACGACGACGACGACGACGACGACGACTGCGCTTTAATCGGGACTATTCTACTGTTAAGAGCTTTCGAATTTCGTTATAACACTTTCGGAGGGTAGGAGGGCGATGGGGGACGGAGGGGACTGCGAGATGAGGGGGGTCGGCATGCATGGCAGGGCGGGTGGTACCGCGGAACCAGGGGAACCGGGCGGAGCCGCGCAGGAGGCGGGGGGGATGCGGGAGCGGGGGGACGCGCGGGACACGCGGGATGCTCGGGAGGTGCCGTTGGAGGCGCGGGTGGAAGAGTGTCCAGCCACGGACGAGTTGCGCGCGTCGTTCCGCTCGGCCATTAATCGAATCCTTGCGCAGTCGCACGGCATCTACGTGCGTCTATCTCCCCCTCTCTCCCTCTCTACCTCTCTCCCTTCTTCCCTCCCTCCCTCGCTTCGTTTATAAGGCTCCTTTGACGAACAGCCTCTCGCTTCGCCTCCCTCCTTTCGACTTTTGAGACGTCTCAAAACTCCCCCTCTCCCCCTCTCTCCCTCTCCACCTCTCTGCCTCTCTCCCTTCTTCCCTCCCTCGCTTCGTTTCTAAGGCGCCTTTGACAAACAGCCTCTCGCTTCGCCTCGTTCCTTTCGCGTCCCTTCCCTCTTCCTCTCTTAAATCTTCCCGTTTTCCTCCTCGTTTTTTATCCCGTCTTCCCGTTTTCCTCTCCCCCTTCCCGCCCCTCCATCGTCGTACGCTGAATCCCGCCGCGCGTTTATTCTTCTTCTTCTCCTCCGCGCGCGTCGTCGCGCGCCACCAGGACGTGGCGCTGCGGTCGTCGCCGTCGCAGTCACACGCGGAAGCGCAGCGAGGGGAGGAGATGGGCGCGCTGCTGCACCAGGTGCGCGCGCCTTGGGGTGGAAGAGGGGGAGGGGGGGGAAGGGGAGAAGGGGGAAAGGGGAGAGGAGGGGAAAGGGGGAGGGGGAAGGGGGGAAATAGAGAGGGAGAAAGGGAAACAGCTGGTATTGTTCTCACCTCTTGACCATCGCCGTTCCTCTCCATACTTCACTTCACGTCATGTGTGCGATCCGGTGCTCTCTCTTGGGTCGATAAAAAAAGTCATCCTGTGCACCCCTCTGATCTCCTCTGCGCTTTTCTCTTCCTTGGGAAATAACCCTAATTAGTCTCCGCCTCTGTTTCCCCGCCTGTTTCCCCCGCTTGCTGGTCTGAATGGGGGTGTGAGGGGAGTGGCGGATGGGGAGGTCGGAGCTGGATGTGGTGTGGGTGGGGGGGGTGTGGGTGGGGGGTGTGTGGGTGGGGGGTGTGTGGGTGGCCGGTGTGTGGGTGGGGGGTGTGTGGGTGGCCGGTGTGTGGGTGGGGGGGGTGTGGGTGGGGATGGTGTGGGTGAGGGGTGTGTGGGTGGGGGGTGTGTGGGTGGGGGGGGTGTGGGTGGGGGGTGTGTGGATGGGCGGTGTGTGGGTGGGGGGTGTGTGGGTGGGCGGTGTGTGGGTGGCCGGTGTGTGGGTGGGCGGTGTGAGAGTGAGGGGTGTGTGGTGGATGCAGATTATTGACAAGTGGGTGCAGTACTCACAGGTACGACTGACTACGCACACTCACTCACTCGTTCTCGTCTTCACCACGGTTGTTGCTCGCACACGCACGCATGCACGCACACATGCACATCCCTCCCATGTCCGCTATCCCCTGCCCCATGTCCCATGTTCCCTGTCCCATGACTTATTGAACCTGTCTGTCCCATGTCCCATGGCACGTGGCACGTGGCATGCAGGAGGAGTTTGAGGAGATATTGGAAGAGCAGCAGGTATGCTCCACCCTACCTCTCCCTGCCCACCTTTCTCCTCCCGTCCCTCTCTTCCTCCTAGCTTCCCCGTCTTATTCCCGCCCCTCCCCTCCCCTCCCATCCCATCCCTCCCCTTCCAGCTGATTCTTTCCCCATCTCTCTCCGCATGCTTCCCAACCCCACCTCGTCCCTCCTAGCCCCTCACAAATGCACTATATCTCGTCTTTTGATTCCATTGCTCTCTCCTACCTACCCACCTACCAAGTCCGCTTATCCAGGGTTCCTCCCTGCCTCTGCCTCTCAGATCAACGCTGCGTTCTCCCGTGCGGACCGCTTGCAACAGAAGCTGCAACTGAACCGCCTGCCAACAACCCTACAAAGGTACCAACACCCCCTCGCCCTCCTCCTCCTCCCTCCCTCTTACACCTCCCCCCTCCCTCCCAATCCACTTACTCACCCACTTCTCCCCTCTCACCCACATACTCTCCCCTCTCCCTCGCCCTCAGTCCTCTTACTCACCCACTCCGTCCTCCTCCCTCCCCCCTTCCCCTTCTCCAAAGCTCCTTCCCCCAGGCCCCTCCTCTCCCTCTCCTGTTCCCCCTCTCTTATTTCTCGCCACATGCACGTGGAAACTCACGAGTCTGCCGCTTGAATCCCACGCATCTCCCGAGCCTGCTATCCTCTCCTCCCTTTCCATGTCGCCCTCTCACCCACCTTCCCCCCTTCCTCACTCAACCACCCCCACTTCCCTTCTCCCTTGCCAATCCCGCCGTCCATGCAGGGAGGCAGCAGGGGTGCCGGGGGTTGGTGGGACTGTGAGGGAGGTGGCGGCGGTGCGTGTGGAGAGCAGCAGGCAGCAGGTGCAGGCAGTGAAGCAGGCCATTCAACTGGTGAGCGCTCGCACCTCTCATGAGAGTCTTGATTTGAGTCGTCTCGAATATCGCATCAGAGCAGCAAGCAGCAGTGGACGTTATGAAGCAAAGAGGGAAGGGAGGTTAGATGGAAGAACGGTTGAATATGGGGAAAGGGAGGTGAGGAGCTGTGTCTGGTGGTGAGCGACGCTGCTTGTGCTCTCTCCCCATCCCTCACATCTCCTGACCGTTTCGTGCCGTTGTTGTTGCATGGGCATGGGCATGGGCATGGGCATGGGCATGGGCATGGGCATGGGCATGGGCGTGAATATGCGGCGGTTGCTTCACAGGTGGAGCAGGAGTTGCAGTCGCTAGGAGGCACCACACACGACTCTCAGCCTGGAGGTGCTGCCAATGCCAACCAATGAGAGCCCTGCCACCCTGCCACACACACACACACACACACACCGATCCGTTACTCACTCACTTACTACCCCCTAACCCTAGTACACACAGGTCACCCCTAACCCTAGTACCGGTACACTTACTACTACATGTTCTTCTTTGGTATCCTAGCTCTGGCTGGCTACAGCCAATGGCAAGCAACCAGTAGCTCCATCTACTACTCTAGTAGGGCGATCTCTGATGCCCACCCACCCACCCACCCTCTAAGGCTGCATCGTAAACGTATCATTGAAGTGCAATGGGCGTCAGGGATTGCATGGAGGCCGTTTGACCTACAGGCTGGGGGCCAGTGTTGCACTTTGTTAGCACTGATGGCCAGCCTTTTTGTTTGGGAGTGGTTGGGTTGGGTGGTGAGCTCTCAGACTCATGGTAGTTGGGCAATGGCCAGTCTTTCATCCTGATTCTTGTGTGATTAGATTAGATCCAGTACATGGAAGCTTTGTGTTGGTGCACACACCCTGTGAGGGAGGAAAAAAACCCTTGTGGTTTTGCTATATCTTTTCTGCCAGCTTTCACTCTATACAATTTGGTTTCTGTTTGTATTTCTGGTTCAACCATGGCATGTATCTTGCTTAAGCCCTCCATTATATGTAGCTCATAACTATACACACAGCTGGGTATTGGATAAATTGTTGGGTTCATTTCAGAGCCAACAGGTAGGCTAGATGTGGGCCTATTGTATGCCCATACAGCTAATCTACAGTGCAGTACTATCACTACAACTGGCTGTGCCCAAAAATTCGTCCTACTAGTACCGTCCCTTACTGCTGCTTGAGGCAAGCAGCTAATCCATATCACACTCTCTGTTTACGGTATTGTGCTGCTGCAAGGCTGGTCTTGCTGGGGCTAAGAGCTGCTTGTCACTGCTGCTGCTGCTGCTGCTACAACCCCCCCCCCCCCCACTTCCGTCCTCCCCTCCTTCTGGCACCGTAACTGTGGACTCTCCCTAAGCTGCTTCCATCCAGCCCCGCTATATTATTGCGCCTTCTCTGAAGGCTCGCTTATTTGAGCAGCCCAGATGAGGGGTACAGAGGGCTGCCGACGCTGCTGCTGTTGCTGCTTATTTCTGTGCTGTTAACCCCACCAACCGTGCCCACACTCTCACTTGTCCCGCCTCCACTGCTGCTCGTGCTGTTGCCGTTGCTGTTGCCGTTGCCGCTGCTGTTGCCCGCTGCAGGAGTGGGAGGAGGCTCAGGTCCTGCGATCTGCGTCTTAGCCGTCCGCTTCCTCTTGCGTTTCACATAATAAGTCGTAGGATTTGTGAGCCCTTGTTTGCAGACCTGGTATGCCGATGACGGGTCTGGCCCGTATCCTTTCTCGCAGAAGCATTTCACGGCCTGCTTGTTGGGCGGCCCGGAGGACCACACGCAGAGCCCTGCTCCCCCGCACTGCGTCTTCCCCGCGCGCAGGCTGCGCTCGGTGCGGCAGAACCCCGCGCACGTGTCCGCGGTGCGCTGCTGCGCGCCCCCCTTGCAGCTGGCGGAGCCCGAGAAGCAATTTCCCCCGTACATCGCGCGCTTGCGCACGTCCTCGGAGGCGGAAGGACAAGCTGCCATGCTTCCTCCGCCGCCGCCACCGCCACCTCCGCCGGTGGTCGTGCTCGCACTCAGCTTGAACCGGGGCAGCCCGTAAAAGAAATTGTTTCGGAGATCCAGGGACCCGTATTCGGCGTCGAGCGGCATCGCGGGCAGCCCGGCAGTGGTGCCCGTGAAGAGATTATTCGCGAGCGAAAACTGGCGAATGCTTCGCATGCCGTTGCGAAAGGACGTCGGAATCAACCCGCTGAGCTTATTCCCCGCGACGCTGAACCGCTTCAGCTGATTCAGTTTCGCCAGGCTCCCGGGAAGCGATCCTTCCAGCAGGTTCCCGTCGAGTAAGAGCACCTGCAGCGCGCCAAGCTTGCCTAGCGCTGCGGGGATTTTTCCGCTGAGCCGGTTCCGCCCCAGGTCGAGGAACTGGAGGGCGCGGAGGCGCGCGAAGGCCTGTGGAATTGGTCCGGTTAGTTGGTTGTTGCCTAGTTGGAGGGTTAATAGGTTCGGTAGGAGCGCGAGTTGCGGCGGTATGGGGCCCCAGAGCGCGTTTTTAGAGAGGTCGAGGTAGTTTAGCGTGGTCAGGTTGGCGAGTTGTTTTGGAATGGTTCCGCGAAGGTTGGAAGACATGAGCATGATCTGCAGGACTTCGCCACGTGGCGAGCACGTGACGCCGTACCACATGTTGCAGGGCGTTTCCGCCTTCCACGTGTTGGCGCCGTCGAAACTGCCGCCCAGCGCGGACTTGACGGCCAACATGACAGCTAGCTGGGACTTGACGATCGGCGGGTACTTCTGCGCGGCTGCATACCGCAGTGGGCCCGCGAGGAGAAGGATGGAAAGAAGCAGGAGCATAGCGGGAAGAGCGGAGGGAATAGGAAATGGGTGCTGTAGGCAGGTATTAAGGGCAGCATATGGCGGTCGGTGTCGATAAGAGCCGCGACGAGGAGAAGTTCGGGAAGGGGACGAAGCTGGACAAAAGCTCAGTAATGGGGGCGAAACAGACTGGTCGGGAAACATGATGGCTGAGTCTTGTCTGGTGAGCTTTTCGTATTCTAGTTGTACTACGTACTGATGGTGGACCGCACTGGTATTAAAGAGAGAGTCGACTCTAGATTCCGCGGGCCAGTCGGAAAATATCACGTAGTTGCAGACATGGCAGTCATGTGAGGGAAAGGGGGACGAGTCTGGACTGGAAAGAGAACACCTTCTGGATGGGTGGGTGGGAAGGCCGATAATCTTACTGTAAAAGGGAAAGGCAATTCTTGTCTACTCTAGCGTGTCTCGTCGCCGACAATCTTACGCCAGCCCACCATTCTGAGATGCTGTGGAGGATGGCCGCCCGCTGGTCAAGTACGGCGCGCTAAAATGCGAGGGGTGCCGAAGCCGAGCTAAGTTACCACAGTTCCGTGGTGCTGAATTCTGGGCGCGAGATAGCAGCCACTAGGAAATTCATGGCTGCTATGGTGACGAGGCATTGGAGTTTCAACCCTTCCCAATACCCATGTTCGGTGGTTCCAACGCAACCCAGCGAAAACGCTACTAACTCAACTAAACCGAAGCCAGCCCACTGATATAACATTCTCTGCAAGTGTGTCGCGCGCGCGCGACCAAATTTCCACGTGCTCATAGTCGACCCGTTGATGCAGCAGGCCACAAGAAAGCGGAGCGGGAGTGGGCAGAATTTTCCAATTTCCATACGAGCCAAGCACGCGCCAAATCGAAAGAGTGCGCGTCGCAAATTGTACGACTGTCGCCAAAGGTCAGAGCGGGCTGGCGAATACCAAGGACGAAATCACGGTACGTTTTGAGAGCAGTAAGGAGCTTCTAAGAAACTTAAATTTCCATTATTTCACTACGTCCAACTCGTGTGTCATCAAATCCCTCATTGTATAGAAAAAAAAAATACTCACATAGTGTAGGCAATGGGAAGAAATTTGGTTACTCAAGTATGAAGGCCCAAACTAGCATAGGAACTTCTAGGTATTGTCTTGACGCATTGCACAACTGAAAGCGACTTCGGTATGCCCAAGTTTGACAACCGCCTTCACCAGTCAAGCCGTGCATATTCAGGAGCCCAAGATTCAACTGCAGCCTCACATGAACACTACAATACACGAAGTGTCATTTGTCAAGAATTTGTACGAGGTTTTCATGTCCGGCCAAGGGATTGAGGTGACTGTAGAGAAAGTTCACATGACTTCATCCACAGCGTTCACAGCGGAAGCAGCAGCAGCAGGAGCAGCGGCATCAGCAGCGGGCGAAGCAGTGAGAGGAGGAACTTGAGAGAGGACCCCATTGAGAGAGAGCGAGTCAAAGTGGAAGAGGTTGTTCATGGGCTGCCCCTTGCGCGATATAGCCCTCACCACCTCCTGCTCACGGGGAGTCCAGTGTGTGTGTGGGCAGCAGCAAGGAGAGCACAATGGGTTCAGCATATTCTCCTTGCGTACGAGTGAGTCTGGGTGTGTAGTGTGTGTGTGTGTGTGCGTGGATGCATTGGGGCAACGAGTGCTCGCTGCTTGCTTCTCACCACCACATGTGGAAAAGTCCCAAAGAAGACCTCTAATGCACACACGCACCTGAGCGGCAATGCCCCCCACAATGGCGGCAACAGCAGGGACCTCTGACGGCCCTGCAGCAGCCATGAGGCGGATCAGGCGCTTCACATGCGGCTCGTGCAGGCGATGGCAGGCCTGGGCGGGAGGAGGGGAGGGAAGGAGAGGGGAGGGGAGGGGAGGGAAGGAGAGGAGGAAAAGATGGTGGGGGCAAAGGGGAGGCGAGGAGGGTAGGGGTAGGGATAGAGGTAGGGTAGGGGTAGGGGTGGGGGCAGGGTAGAGAGCACAGCTCTCTAAAATTCACAAACGTACATTTGAAAACACAAGGTCAATGCACCAACGGGACGCAAGTGCCCGAGAGAGAGAGGACGAGGGAAGCGGGAGGCGGTTCAGTGCAGGGGACTCACGGGCGAGCCTTGGCCCTTGTCGTGTGCGAGTGCCAGCACCCCCTCCACGCTCGCCTCGTCGTATGCCTGCCCCGCTGCGCGCTTCTCCCGTGCGTCATAGTCCTCCATGGCTGCCCATGGGGAGAGCAATGCACATGAGGGGGACAGTGAAGTGGGTTTTGAGTCATCCCAAGAGTCACTTCGCGCTTCTCCCGTGCGCCATAGTCCTTTGAGTGTTTTGAGACGTCTCAAAACACTTCTTCATACATGTGGCTGCCCGTGGGCAGTGCCACGCAGGAATGCAATGCACATGAGGGGGGCAGTGGGTCAGAATGGTGGGGGAGAAACGGGGGAAGCCGGGGGGAGAGGGGAAGGGGACGTGTGGGTTGGTGCAGGAAAGCGGAGGGAAGGAGAAGGAGGGGTGTGTGAGGTGTAGGACTGGTTGAGACGTGAGATAGTGGGCCAAATTGAGGCATAGATGAGTGAGCGAAGA